ACTGAATGGACTACCTAATAAGGATATAAAAACTACTAAAGCTTTTTTTTTAATGTTAACCTGTAGCTCTAATGTAGGTAGTATTCTCTCCAATACCTCCTTCATTATTAGTTGCTGCTACTGTTATTCTAAAGTGAGTTACATCAATACATTAATATGTTTATTCATTCATTGTTATACTTACTCATATGTTGTTTCTTTATCAAGGTTCATTAGTATTTGTGATCTCACAGTGGGTCCTGGGCTAGTAACCATTACATCTGAAGAAGTATTAAGGTTCCTGTATGATATACGATATCCATTGATTGCTTCTCCACCATTATCCATAGGAGGCTCCCAGGACACACACATTGAATCAGGATAAGGAGTTAGATTGATTTCAGTAACTTGAGAGGGAGCTGTGTAATGGAGGATGAGGAAGAGAAAGAGAAGGAGATTATTGACAAAAGGAGAGAATAGAAAGCATAGTCTACATATCAACACAGAGAAAAGCAAACTTATAATTAAAGCAATGTCAAGTTTCAAAACACAAACAGATATTATATGCAACTGTCTAACTGATAATGAAATACTTCCAATATAGTGTATTAGCCCAATTAGGAAGCTAGCAATAAATCTAATTTAATAAGCAATAAAATAAGGGACTTATCTCATCACGTCTGCCATAGTTGGGGTATAAATATTTGGGAGGCAATGTACATGTACATGTACACTGGTATTATGGTATTTGTGATCATCTCTTCCATTACTCTATTATATAATTTCATACCATACAGTAGTAGCTCTTGGTAGTAATAATATAGTGGAGTGTATAGTAGCCTCTATCCCTTACTATAACTATCAGGAAGGAACAGTTTTGTTACTTAAAATAGAATCACTGACACAAGTTGTTCCATATCTATCATACAGCCTATTATAGTATTGTATTAGTTTAGAGAAAGAAGCTTACTCACACAATAAGCTAGGCTATAATAATACACTTAGGAGTGTACATGACAGCAATGACACACTTCAAAACATCTACTAATTGTTTCTCTCTTGACAATATTAACACTTATAACAAAGCATAACATCATCCAGAGAGAGAGAGGGAGAGAGAATGAGAGCATAACAACACAACAGTGAGAGAGTGTCTATGATTTTAAAATTGAATGTGCTAGACTTTGGTGGCATTGATACGGTATTAATCTATGACAACAATAAACATTTTGATAAAAATTGATAAACAACTAACTCTACAGCAATTAACTGACAGGTAGAGACCAAAATATAATAAACAAAACACATACAAACAGACGTGTACATGTACATGTGAATCAAAAGAAGAGGAGGTGAATCACTGAAGCAGTAGTTGACAAAGGAGAGGGAAGAGAGTCAGTTTCATTATTACTACTACAAGTTAGCATAACTTTTGAAGCTATAAAAATAAACAGCTGGGCCATAATATCCTCAACATAATCATAATTATTATAGTCCAATGCAAAACACAGTTGTACATGATCACTCATTAATATAAAAGTCACTGTATTGCTTTTAGTTCAGTAAGACTGTATTGGAATATAATTATTGCACTTTGACACTATGACATGATCTAACATCATTATGTACACAACAAAGAAGGATTTCATTCCTTTGCCATATATGGTAAATGAGCTAATGCATATTTTCAGTACACAACCAGTGATCTAAGACTAACATATTAACAACATAAAATACACCATTTTACTTTATAGCATCAAAGTATGCACACATATATAATAATAATAAATTAGTCATAAATATTTGTAAAATTTGCGGAATTCAATTTGGCGGTTTGCCAGGAAGCCAGAGAAAGGGTTACAAGTGTTGAGCCAATTACTCTTGGCCGTGACTACAGGTGATCCTTATCGTCTATTAAACACACAAGTACATGTACATGTACTAGAAGCTCCAATACAACAATACAATACAATACATATCTATACACAAGTTGTATGTAACTTACGATCAATATTAGTCCTGTTGGTCATTGGGTCACTTAATGAACTGGATCCAATAGTATTATTAGCATATACTTGTACTGTGTAATTTGTTCCTTTAGATAAACCACCTATCATTAATGTAGTAGTAGGAGCATTGACTGTCAATGTAACTGATGATGAATCCTGTCCTTGTTGATAATATACCACACTGTATGTAGTCACTGCACTTTGTGTCATTGAATCAGTATTATCCTAAGGGAGAGAGAGAGAGAGAGAGAGAGAGAGAGAGGGAGAGAGAGAGAGAGAGAGAGAGAGAGAGAGAGAGAGAGAGAGAGAGAGAGAGAGAGAGAGAGAGAGAGAGAGAGAGGAGTACAAGAGAGGGGGAGAGGAGTCAGAGGAGGAGTAGGAGGCCAAAATAAATCATTAGTGAGGTATTTCTCACGTACAGCATGTGACTATTTACACTGCTGCTCATGGCTGATTGTATTACTACACTACCACTACTCACGCAATTATGATAACTATTGGGTAGGCATTCCTAGCATAGTACATACTGCATGTGTATATTGACGTGTATGGCAGTATGTGTGTGAGCAGCCTGACTTATGTTCAGTCTGTGATAAGAATAGGATCATTAAACTTATATCAGTAGGTGTGAGACAATAAGTATACAGATATCATTTGCACTGTAGTATCTTATGGTAAGTATAGGTGAGTGGATATATTATAAC